ACTTGGATCTTCCTGGGAAACAATGCCCAGAATTATATATACATTGAGCTATAAATACATTGAACTTGCTGACAGACCCAGCAGGAGCAAAGGAGAAGGAAAAAGCAGTGTTACACTTGTAAGGCTCACTGGAATCATTCTTGTTTATGCTGGTTAAAATTGTTACCCCATTAACACGAAAATGACCAAAAATTTTGTGATAGAAAAATTAAAGGAAATACCAAAGCCTTATTGCTGACAAATCTTCTTTGCAATGGATACAGGAGGCCTGTGCTGACCTGCACCTCAAAGCCACAGACACATCTCAGGTGATCTGGGAGTGGGGTCTGGCAGCCCTGGATTTACAGAAATATTCCTCAAGGCTCCCTTTGCCTTGGTGTCCCCTTCCAGAAAGTGTTAGAGAGTTTTCCCCTCACTTTTCATTCCCTTTATTGAACCAAATTTGTGTTTATAGCCCCATTTGCTTTCCCTGCCATGCTGTCTGTCACTTGTGTGGAATATGGGTTTTGCACACTTGCCAAATAGTTTCCTTGCTTGGCAAGGGCTCTCTGGCAGGAGAATTTGCCTCTCTGCATAGTAATGGCCATGTCTGGCTGATGGACCCTTTGTCTGGGGCTCCTGCATACTCAGAGCTGCTCCTTTGTCACCAGCCTGACCCAGGCAGCAAATATGAACAGGAATTGTAAATATGCCCCATTCTCACTGGGATATCAATCAGCTTCTTGGGATAAACTGATCCTCTGCTGCTCTGAATCTGCCCTGCACTTGCCCAGGCTCTCCTATTCTAGAATAATTCTGCCCATCTCTGATTTCTGTGCTTTTGGAGTCACCTTTCTCTGTGGTTTGTGTCCTCTTAGAGTACATTTGACATTGACACGGGCAGCTCTGGTGGGTTTGGGGTGGCACAGCTGATAACTGGGACTGGCAGTAACACCTCTCCCTAATTTGTGCAACAAAGTGGTGACAAAGGGAGCAGCAAGTCCAGCTGGTCACTTGAAAAGCCATGAATTTCCAAGGCCATGTGAACATGACAAGTGTCCTCAGTATTGGGACTGCCTGGCTATTGGTAAGAAAGTGGCTTCATGTATTTTTTGTAACTGGTTTTTTTTCATGTCTGAAGTACAAATTTCCTTTTTGTCCTATAGCTGCTTTCTACTGTCAGTGTTTAATAAATTGTCTAAAGGTGAGGGAGTCACTTTTTATTTTGGAATACTTGGAGAGATTGCTTGGTTCTGCCTGGAATAGCAGGTTTGGGTGGATAATGAGCCAGTTTATTGGCAGGGCAGAAATCAATGGCACAAGGGCACAGAACTTTTTCCAGTTTAAAATTAGACTATCCAGAGTCCTTTTTAAACAGCCTGGTCAAACCAGCACGTGTCAGAACCACAAACTTCCTATTTTAAAATAGTTATGTTGTAGATCAATAGATAATGTTGTAGATCAATAGACAATGTTGTAAATCAAGCTTTTCCATTGTTTGCAGTGAATCCCCTAAAAACAGAAGCCCCAAAGCTCGCAGAGCAGCCCAGCTGAATAATTCTGCCAGAGCAGAGCTGCAAAAGGGGATGTTACAGCACCATCTAGTGCCTCTGCTCCTGAAATATTGGGAATTTTTGAATTTTCCACTTCATTCAAGGATGTAGGTGGGGACGAGGGAGTGCAGTGGCTGCTGAGGCATTGACAACTTCTTTTCTCAAGCAGTGTGGAGAGAGAAGGGAGCTGAGCGGTGGAAAGGAGCTTTGGAATCTCACACGGGAACATTTTGTCAGCAGAGCTGCTCTTAGTTCCTCTTATTTCATCTTCTCGCCAGTCACGGAGCTTTCCTCCAGGGGACGGTCAGGAAGCGGATGCAGGAGCAGGAAGATGGGAAGAAAAGTTAAATAAGAAACTGGACAAATTTTGGGGAGGTAGAGTTGTTTTGTTGGTAGACCAATGATCTGTTCAGTAAGTGACTGACCAGGAGAAGGCTGGGGGTGATTTCCAAACTCCTTTGACTTTCCTTTCCTATTGAGAACTGCACCTGTAATCAGGTAACAAGCACTGCATCCTCTGCTTTCCTCAGCGAGTGTGACCCAGGATGAAAACTAAATTAACTCTAAATTAAATTCTAAATAGAGCTACATTTTCATATGCTTTACATTCCTGTCCCTTTGTTCCTTTTTTTTTCTGGAAAGGTGGTTTAACATCTCTGACTCCAAACTACTCAATGGTTAACCAAGAACAACTTTGCAATTATTCCCAACCAGCCACTGGAGATGAATTTGGGGATGAAGCCCGTCTAGGAAACAACTTCCATTCTCCCAGTCTCAATTTGGGAACACACCTTGTGCTGGGAGTGAGATTAATGACTCTTCAAACTGAGCTATTTGTGATAAGAAATATCAATATTTATATGTTAAATGGTTTTCTAGCAGGTTGAACTTAAAACCCTCAAAATTATTATACATTAAAGCATTTAGTAAATGTCCTAATGGTGATATGGAACTTAACAAAAGTCACTTATCTCAAAAAAAATCTTCACCCAAAATCCTCACTGTCTTCAGTACAGCCCTGCAGAAAAAGCTGGTAAATAGTGATGTCTGTAAATTATAGAGTTGAAATTAGAGTTAGTGCCAAATCTAGGGGTCAAATTTTGATTTAAAGCCCTTGCTGGAGTTACAGTGCTCACAGACAGAGCTGTTAGCAGGGTTAGGGTGACAAAGAGCTGCAACAGCATCCAAAATACTCCCAGAGTCCTCACTGCTTATAATTTTATTATGATTATTATTGAATTTAGGGTTTCCTAAAAGAAACCCCAAATCCTTGGGTTATGTGAATTTTTGGAGAATCCCAGGAGCCACTAAAAAATAAGATCTATCCCTCAAGAGTGCAGAAACAAGCTCAAAAGTGTGACTCAAAGATATCGCCAGCAACTTAGTAAAAAACCAAGAGAAATAAAAATATTTTAGCATATCAAAATAATTACAAAATATTTAGCATAATATTTCTTAATAAAATCCTAGGGTTTGGAGAAGGGGCTCATAGTATTTTAATTCTTCAGTTGGTCAGCTTGACAAGAAAAATATCTTTTTTATGATGGTTAATTAACAGATACAATACTCTGCAATTATGAGTATTACACTGAGACAATGCAGAAAAAGTTATGGAATCATAACTTAATCATTTAAGCGGTTATTGTATTTTATAAATGTTTAATGTATTATCACAGGCATGTTTGTGCTCATTTGGCAAATGTGGTATTGATTGCTGCTCTAAAGGCCCATTCAGGTCAGCACAGATAATGATTGCTTGGGAATCTTCCACCCACAATGGTAAGGAAATTATAGGGTTTATTTGTCCTTTAAATGTAGTTCTCGAAACCACTTTAATTCTGATTTAAAAAAATACAAAAATGAGTGTTTTGCTTGCTGGCTAATCATTGGTTTGCTCTGCCACTGATGCAGGGAGAATATTATTGCTGAAGTGAGATGGGAGATACTGAAGAAAAAAGCAGAAAGTGCAGAATTTTTCCCTGAATAACAACAAAAAAGCCTTTTTAGGAAGAAAACAACAAACAGGCTGAGATGAGATAGAGGAATTGTGAAGTGCTCAAGAGCACCGTATGGGTTTAGTGATTTGTAACAAAGAGTGGAATAAGATTTCTGCAAGAAAAATATAACATTTTATTATAGAGAAATCCCAGGGCCATGATAGAGCTTTTTTGAGGGTTTTTTAAAGGGAAGGAAATTATAACGAATGTTGAGACAGAGGGTTTGTGTGAGAGTTGGGCAGTGCAGTGAACTTTTCAGAGTCTTATCAGCCAGGTTTGCATCCCGTTTCTGGTGATGCCACCAACCTGACACAGGACAGGACCCTGCTGGCAAGTTTCAGGAGTACAGGGCACAGGATTGGGTCCAGGCAGGTCTGAGTATGCCCAGGGGGAGATTTCACATCATCTTTGAGCATCTGTTCCCCTGCACAGGGAGGAAGCTTTTCCTCATGTCCAGGTGGAACCTCTGGGCATCAGTTTCTGCCCTCTCCTCTTGTGCCATTGCTGGGCAGCATCAAGAGGAGCCTAGCTCTCCTAATAAATTTAATAAATTTATTAACTAAATTACTAAAATGTGTGTGCACGGATAAAATCCCATTCCAGCCATCTCCTCTCGGGGTTGAAGAACTCCAGCTCAGCCTTCCTCACAGCAGAGATGCTCCAGCGCCCTCGGCACCACCCTGGCCTTTCGCTGCACCCTCTCCAAGTCTTATGCGGATAAATTTTTATCTTATGTTGTTTAGTTTCTTGTCAAGCCATTTCCCCATGAGGTTTAACCCACGGCGGGTTTTATTCACACCCAGCCCCTCTCCCATGCCCACAGCCCGGCCATGCAGCGCCTGCTCTGGGGACTCGCCGGAGGTGCCACCGGGGGCGGCTCTGCCCTGGTCACCTTGGCCGTGCCCTGTGAGCAGAGGAGGAACCGCTGTCCCCTGGCACCCCCGAGCCCTCAGGCGGGAAGGGCAGTCCTTGATCGAGGGGAACGCGGTCGGTGTGAGCCCGGCGCTGAGCACGGAGCCCCGGGTCCCGCAGAGGCCGCGGCTCCCGGCCCTGCTCCGGCGGGCTCGGGCTCCTCCTCCGCCCGCCTCCTGCCCCCGCCCCGCCGCCTTCCCAGCCTGCTCTCCGGGTAAACAGCGATGGCCGCCGAGGACCGAGGCGGAGAGCCCCGAGATAACATGGGGAACCACCTCCAGCTGGTGCCCGGTGAGGGCCGGGCCGGGCCGGGGGCAGCCGCGGGGGAGGCACCGGGCCGGGGCTCGGCGGGCGGGAGGGGAGAGGAGAGGGAAAAGGAGAAGGGAAGGAACGGAACAGAACGGAAAGGAAGGAAGCGGAGGCGGAGAGAAGAGGAAGGGGAAAGGAAAGCGAAGCAAAGCAAAGCAAAGCGAGGGGGAGGCGGGCAGAGCCCCGGGCGGTGTGCGGAGCGCTGGGGGCCGGCGGTGCCTCGGGGCTGTGGGCGCTGCCGGCCGGTGCGAGCCTTGGCCCGGGGCCGCGGGCTCCTGCGGCCTCTGCTGCTGGGCCCCTGTAAATCCTTAGAGGCCGTAAATGTTCCGTCGAGGCCGCAAATTTCCATTGAGGCCGTAGATGTTCTTTCGAGGCTGAAAATAAATGTTCCTTGGAGGCCGTGGGTGTGCGGTGCAGGAAGGGACACGGGTGCTCCCGATGGGGTGAAAGGCCCGTGGGGTTCCCGGCAGAGCAGGCGCTGCTCTGTGCATCGAGACCGCTGTGAAACCCAGAGCCCAGCAGAATCTGAGTTCTTTTAGGGAGTCTCTGCTCTGTTTTGCAGTGAAAATAAGCAGGGAAGCAGAGGTGCTGGATGGAGAACAGTGCTGGATTCCATGTGCTGCCTGGCTTATCTGTCACACACAGCAGAGCAATTCCTCACCCAGGGAATTATTGCATAATTATTGCATAATAATGTGTTTTTCTGCCTATGGTGCCTCCACAATGACAGGAGATCAAATGGGTTGGGAAGCAGCTTGTGCTTAACTGGAAAGCATTATTTCAGAATAAGCATGCAGGGGAGAAGGGAGCAGGAAATCCTGCCAGGAGCCAGTGGCATTTCCCATGGCAGGAAATTCCGTGAGCTCTTTAGCTCTGTATGTTTTAAATAATAAATAAAAAACTCTTGAATATTTTAGGAAATACAGCCTTAATATCACCATAATATAAGCAATTTTCCTTGAATATTGTAGGAAATACAGCTTTAATATCACCTTAATAAGTTATTTCCTGAATATTGTAGGAAATACAGCTGTAATCTGACCTTAATACGACCTATATATAACCTTGTCCCTTTTCCTTAAATGAGGGTCATATTTCCTCATTTCTGCACAAAGGCATTGAGAGTGGGTTGTGCTGGTGAACCAACGTGAGGAAAATGTGATTTTTATTATGCAGGGCAGCCTTCAGCGCTCGCTTTTCCCTCCTTCCTGTGTGCTGGAGGTGCTGCTAATCCTGGAATTGAAGGATAAACAAAACCCAGTATTTGGGGGTGTGAAAGCTTCAGCTTGCTTTGCCAGCTGGGAGGGAGGAGGAGCGGGAAGGCGCCGGGGTTTGCTGTGTTTTGGGCTGGCTGGTGCTGCTGCAGTGGAATGAGTCATCACGGTCCCTCAGCCAGCACCACACAGCAGCCACTGTGCGCTCTTGGCAGCAGCCAGCAAAAGTTTGCAGGGCACAATTCTCTCCAATCAACTGCTGCTAATTCCTTCTGCGTTCACAAAAACAAGTGGGGCAGCCTCTCCCTGTTAAAACTGCTCATGATGGATGCAGCCGGATGGGAGCACATGGAAAAATCAGAATATTTTCTTTTTTTCCCCCTCCTCCATCATGCAGTGATGCCCCAGAACCAAATAAAAACTTCCTGATCCTCCCCTCTATCAAACTAAGTAAAATAATTGCTGTTTTATACATTTGAACGTTCTGTAATTGTTCATGGTTAGGGCTGCTAATTGAATATAAGAAATTTCATATAGATGTGGAGTATTTTTAACAGTCATTAGGCAGATGGTGTCTCATTGCTGAAAGGACTGGAATTAGGTACAATACCAGAGAGAGTCTGTAACCTCCTTTCCTGTGGTGCTGGATCATTTCTTGCTGAGATAAATTCAGTATAGGATGGATCTGTAAGAGCAGGTTCTGTAAACTGTGAACTGTTTAAAAAAACATAAGTGAGGTGAAGCAAAAATAAGACCAGTGACTAAACATTTTGTGGGAGCATTTAACAAATGTGTCTAGAGGGCAAAGAGGGGAAAAAAGGTTCTCTAAAATCAGCTTTTAATGTCTCCTTCACTGTTCTCTTGTACTCCCACTCTCAGAAATAGTGAAATTGGTGGTGTTCCCATTTCTGAAGGAAAATTCTTTGCTTCTGCAGCATCTTTTTTTTTGAGATTTCCCTGCAGAATCCTTCAGGATGAGTGAACCCCTCCACCTTTTATATTTTCAACTCTGGACTATTTTTAAAGAAGATATTAATTGCAAAAGCAGCAACTAGACTGGCTATTGTAATTTTATTTTGTATCTTGTAATAGCTTTCAAGGTCTAAATGATGTTTTTCAGCACCCCTGGGATTATCCATTACCCAGCAGCTCTTGGTGTAAGAATCCTGGAGACTGGTTTATGCTAGCAGGAGGTTTAGGCATAACATGCTGTATAAATAATGTTTGTGTTCAGAGAAATAGGGTCAATTAATGCAGTGACTGATAATTTAATTGTCCTCTTGCCTGCAAATGACTTTAGGCTTGGCTGAGGAGTGGGAAGGAATATGTAGTTTTTAAATGCTGTTAGGTATCTGAAATCCCTTGGAGTCTTGTGTTTGGCTTCCTCAGGAGCTGCCTTTGCTGGGTTGGTGTTTGGTGTGCACACACAGAGGCTGGCAGCAATTAAATTGTCTAAAATACCAGCAAGAGTCTCTGCATGAACACAGAGCTTCCCATTGCGTGGTACTCACTGCAGCTGATTGTTGAGGTTTGTGCAGCTTCAGACACTTTGCTCATATCCTGCAAGGAGTGAGGTGATCTGGCATCCTGGGGAGCAGACAGAAAACCTTTAGAGCTGAGATGAGGAAACACCACTGTAGTGAAAACCTGAGCTGGCAGCCTTTGTTTATTGTTTTCTTCCAAAGAAAGTTGTTCTTTGGGCCTTCAGAAAAAAATTACCAGCTTTTGACCCTTGCTACAGAATGGTGATTTTGCTGTAACAACAAGAAAATTATTTCCCTCTGGTTTATTTCCCTGTGCAAAGCTGCAGCCTGGGAATATTGAATGCATTTCCCTGATTGTCAGGTTTTTCTCAGTATCTCAGTCTTTGCTGATTGTTTCCTATACAATATTCTGTATGTCCTTCTTAGTAGAGAGCGAGGAAGAGGATGACAATGAAATGGAAGTGGAGGACCAAGATAGTAAAGAAGCTGAGAAGCCAAACATCATTAATTTTGATACCAGTTTGCCCACATCACATGTGGTATGTTTTTATATATTGTCCATTAAATGTATACTGAAAATATTTAAATGGGGTTTGTATAGTTTTATTGTAATGTTCTTATGCCACAAGCTTGGTTTTATTTTCACAGAATCATCATAAGATGGTTTGGGTTGGAAGGACTGTAGAGGGCACACAGTTGGATCTCCTGGGCAGGGACAGCTCAGCTTCTGCTGTCCCAGGTTGTTCCAAGCCCTGTCCAGCCTGACCATGATCCTTGGGCAGTGCCAGGGATCCAGGGGCAGCCTGTGCCAGGGTGTGCCCACCCTGACAAGGATGAATTCCTTCCCAGTATCCCATCCAGCTCTGCACACAGAGTGGGCACACAGTTGCACTCCCTGGGCAGGGACAGCTTCTGCTGTCCCAGGTTGTTCCAAGCTCTGTCCAGCCTGGCCTTGGGCAGTGCCAGGGATCCAGGGGCACCCTGTGCCAGGGCCTGCCCACCCTGACAGGGATGAATTCCTTCCCGGTATCCCATCCATCCCTGCCCTCTGGCAGTGAGAAACCATTCCCTGTGCCCTGGCACTTCGTGCCTTGGGAAGAATCTCTGTCCTCCTTCCCTGTAGCTCCTTCAGATCCTGCAATGCACATGAGATCCTTGTGGAGGCTGAGTGAGCCCAGAGCAGCCCAGACTCCCCGCGCTCCCCAGGCCCTCCCTGACCCCCGTTCCCTCCCTCCCGCAGTACCTGGGCTCGGACATGGAGGAGTTCCACGGCAGGACGGTGCACGATGACGACAGCTGCCAGGTGATCCCCGTGCTGCCCCGGGTGATGGTGATGCTGATCCCCGGCCAGACGCTGCCGCTGCAGCTCTTCCGCCCCCAAGAGGTTAGCATGGTGCGGAATTTAATTCAGAAAGACAGAACCTTTGCTGTCCTTGCATACAGGTAAAAGCCACGGGCGGGTTGCTGGTGTGTGCAGCATGTTTGTAGCACAGTTTCTGTGGGTACTAAAGCAAAAGCAGATGGTTGCGTCGGTTCTGTGCTCGATAACAAGCTGAAATTGTTTAACAGAATTTGGCTTCCAATGTGTAATGGCAGTGTAGGTGCTTGACAGCATTTCATATTTGTGTGGAGAAACAGCAAGTGCTGATCTGTGTCCTTGGCTGAGCATCCTCCTCTTTCAGTAACTGTTTGTTCCATCTTGCTGAAGAATAAGCCTTGACCTGAAATGTGAAAGTCACATTCTTGTTTTGAGAGCTGTATTGTTGCTTGTTTTGTGTGTGAACTAACAAGCACTGGCAAATGTTTCACAGTGGAGTTGAGAGACAGGAGGTGATAGAAAAGTGGAGAAGAGAAAAGCTGATTAATGCCAGAAGAAGTTGGGAATGTTCCTCCCTCTTCCCCCTGCAATTTACTATGGATTGATTGTGTGGGAGGTGGGAACAGTTCCTGTTACAAAGTCAATCCAAGGAATGTTTGCTTTCAGTGCTTTCAGTGCCTGCATTTGAAATGCTGACACACTGGTGATCCCTGTGCTCCCAGAATGTCACATCTAGACCCTAAAATAAAATCAAGTTACCTGGCAAAAAAACCCAAGCAACCAAAACAATAGAAATTGCTTTATAATGGAAAAAATTGTTATTGTGATTAATTAAAGGTATATTTCACCAAAAATTGCTTTTTTGATAGACCAATTGTACAGTCAGTGCAGGCAGAGTGGAGTCTGAATGAGCAGTGCTGTTTGGAGGGGGTTAATTAATTTAATTCTTCTTTAATTCTGTTACTCTTAGCAATGCACATGAGAGGGAAGCACATTTTGGAACGACAGCAGAAATCTATGCCTACAGAGAAGAGCAGGAATATGGAGTTGAAACTGTCAAGGTGAAAGCAATAGGAAGACAGAGGTTCAAGGTGCTTGAAATACGAACACAGTCAGATGGGTAAGAAATTATGCAGTTAATTCTGTACTCAAGTCAACTTTCATAGGAATATTCTCATATTTTCTGTATTCCCATTTGATAGCTGTGATATTTAAAGGCTCTTCTGTCTAGTTTTAACATATTATGTAATTAATGCCTTTTTCCATTTCTGAAAGGGATCAAGATCCTGAACATGCAGTAAGAATATGCTGAGTCTTCCCTCATTTTCAGCTCCTTGGCATCATGCCCTGCACCATGGCCAGAGGTCCAGGCCCCAGCATTGATCTGGGAGCATGTGGCAGTTCTTAGCACAATTGCTAGAGCTTCTGTCATATTTTCTGCAAGGCTTGTGAAGTATTACTTCAAATCTGTAAATCTAGAGCTCCTCACCCGTATCCTGCAATTCAGCATAGAGGCATTGCCAATTCAGCATAGAGGCATTGCTTTAGAAGGAGGTCTGGGAGCATTTCTGTGGTTTTGTGACCTGCAGCTGAAGAAATGAAGAATATTTGTGCTGTTTGCTCTCTAACATTTGGTTCCAATAACAGACTCTGAATGTTAGAGCTTAGGAGAAGCCCTGCTTGGACACAGGGTGGCAGTGCTTGGACAGCTGCAGCAGCAGCACCTTTGTTACTGGGAATTCACTGTCCAGAATTCCTTAGCAAGAAGAACATTTCCATAATTCTTGGTGTTTCTGGTTCCTGAGTGCTTTTGGCACAACATAATCTTGTAATTTATTGTAAGTTACCAGTTCAGTGCTGTCCCTGTGAGAAAATTAGAATTTTTTACACACTGCTCAGTATTTCAGGATTTCTGCTGCATAATCCTAATAAGACATGAAGTCTTTCCTGCTGGACAGCATTCTTAGTAGCCTCAGCCATATGCTGAGGTCTTTGTGGAAGAGGTGACCTTTGATACTGGGATATTAAAATCTGATCAGATTTTCCTGGATCCTATTTCTGCTGATTCTGACCTCGAGCTGAGCACAGCAGCTTTTGTGGTTTGAAGATAGCAAAGTGCATTTCAGCTGAACTGAGCCATTGAGATGGAAGAGCTGATTATTTATACCAAAAGTAACTTGAGGAGACAGAAATCTAAGTCTATGGTGCTGAGATGGTGGAACATTCAGCTGTGTTACCACTGCCAATCTGTCTGTATTTCTGTCCACCACAATCCCAACAGATCTGTAGTGCTCTAAAACAAAAGAAGTTCTGATGGAATGGGTTGTAGGTTAAATTCTGTAGTACTGTGGAATGATAGCTGTGTTCCCAAAAGCAGTAAAATCCATTTTATTGAATGCATGTATTAGAAGAAGCATTTAAAATGTGTACACCTCATGTTTTTGTTGCCTTTCTCAGAATCCAGCAGGCCAAGGTACAAATCCTGCCCGAGCGGGTGCTGCCTCCCACCATGGCAGCAGTGCAGCTGCAGTCTCTCAGCAGGTGCCACGTGCTCCCCTCTTCCAAACCCACCTCCTGGCAGGACAGGGCCATCAGGCAGTGGTGGCAGAAGTACCAGAAGGTGAGGAGTTATTTCACAGCTTTGGTTATTCTGCTTTTGTATTTTTGTCTGGATTTATGATGGCGTTTTGAGAATCAGCATCCAGCTCCATCTGTAGAGGAGGAGGAGGCACAGCAGGGAAGGCAGATTCCAGCCTCCTGCTTTTCATGGAATCCCACACTGGTTTGCGTTGGAAAGGTCCTTAAAGCCCATCCATGGGCAGGGACACCTTCCACTGGCCCAGGTTGTTCCAAACCCCTCCATTCTGGCCTTGGACACTCCAGGGATGGGGAGTGCACAGCCTCTTTGGGCACCCTGTGCCAGTTTATATCTGTATTTATTATTTATTCCATTGTTTTGGTCATTGACACAGAGAAGTTACCCTGAAATCTTTTGTCTCTGTAGAGATCTTTGGAGCTACCTCCAGAAATTAATACAGAGTCTTGGTAACTCAGCTCATGTTTGGATTTGCTTTTTTCTTCAATGGTTTTGAACTCTTATACCCTCAAAATCAAATTAAAAACTCCACTGATAACAAAGAACTCTTGATTCTCAGAGTTCCTGACCAAGTTCATGTGAGTGAATGAGCTCAGAAACTCTGGGCTGTGGGGTGGAAATCCCTTCCCAAGGCTGATTCTGTCAGGTGGAGCTGAAATGAAGGGAACCCACTGCAGGAAAACCTGGGGTGCAGATGCACAGCAGGGTAATTGTCCCGTTACCTGCATCTCTCTGCTGGTGTCATTTGTAAATGAGGAGAGTTGCCCTCAAGGGGGAGATGAGAATTGAATTTGTGCATATCTGCAGTGCAATATGAGCCCCTCCTTTGAAAAGCAACGTAGTTGTGGGCTGCTTTTTAGACTTTTATTAACTAAAGCTCTCCATTTCTGTGTTCAGAAATCACTGGAGAAAATTGGTTAATTAAACAAATGACATTACACTGGTGGAAATTTGGTGGTTCCAGGGACAGCTGGTGGAGACTTAGGAACAGATGCACTGTTAATAGCACTTAAATTTTCAACTGTCTTCATTTCAGACAGACACACTTTTGAAAGACATAAATTTTTATTGCTAAACATCAGAAATACCTCTAATGCAGAGACAGGTTTTGTGATAAAATCCATGTAATGTCCTGCTCAGAAGGCTTAGCCCTCAGTGCCTCTGAAAATGGGTTTGGAAGCTTCACAGTGAAGTGCTGGTCCTGATGGAGGTAATTTCTTGTATCTTTAAATAATCAGATCTGCCTTCCCTGTTTGATTTGTTTCAAAAAAAGCTGTCCCTAAAATCTGCTTTTGTTAAAAAATAAATATTTGTGGGTTTGGTTTCAGAGGAAGTTCCACTGTGCAAGTTTGACATCTTGGCCCCCCTGGCTCTACTCTCTCTATGATGCTGTAAGTTCACCCTTAAATCAAATAACCTGCAGAGAGCTTTATGGTTGTAATATCTAAATATGGGATAATAGAAAAGCTTTAATTTTATTGGCTCATAATTTCCATTTTAAAGCCTTTTATATTCAGTGTAGTGTGAAAAGATCAGGAAGGGCTTCCCCCACTGTGGTTGTTCCCTCCTTCCCAGAACAAATGTCTGGGAGGGATAGAGAGATTCTGGTTCCTTCTGTGTTGTCTCAGAGCAAAACCAGTTAAAATATGCAGGTACAAAGTGATTCTTTAATTATTCTTTAATTAAAAACTACTGTCCACTCAGGGAAAAGAGCTTACTCTACATTTTGCTTCCCTTTTGTTTTTTTCCTGAGAAGAAAGCAGCAATACCTGTGTATTTAAATTAGGCTTTTCTTCTAACAAAAGGAAACCTTGATGGAGAGAGTCAAGAGGCAGCTCCACGAGTGGGATGAAAACCTCAAGGATGAATCTCTGCCATCAAACCCAGTAGGTACGAGCTTTTCTGAACCCACAGTTTCAATTTTAATTTCTTAAGACACCACAGCTTAGATAATTACCTGTGGTAGAGTAAATAGAAACACTTGGATTTATTTCTCTGTTAATTCTAACAGACCTGCTGCTTTCTCATTTCTAGATTTTTCTTACAGAGTTGCTGCCTGCCTGCCCATTGATGATGCTTTACGTATCCAGCTGCTCAAAATAGGCAGTGCTGTGCAGAGGCTGCGCTGTGAGCTGGATATCATGAACAAAGTGAGTCATTCTGCTTTGTTTGCCATCACATTGTCAAAAACCAGGAGTGACTGTCACAATCCCTTCCAGAAATGATGGAAATCCCAACTAATCCTTCCTGAGGATGAGTTTGGGTGTTCTGTTATTTCTTCAAAAGTTTGCTCGAAAGGAAAATCGTGTCTCAGTGCTGGGTTATGTTTGGCAGCAAGAAAAAACATATATAATATATATACAATATATATTCTATATTCTATATGATATATGATGTATCATATATCATATAGTGATAATATAATATATAATATAATCAAACATTATTCTATTCTATTCTATTCTATTCTGTTCTGTTCCGTTCCGTTCCATTCCATTCCATTCACATAATTATATTTGCTTTTGTTAGAAGTATTTCAGTGTGGCACAGCCCTTTTTTAGCCAAGAGGTGGTGCTAGAAGTCCAGTGTTGTTAACAACCATCACAGCTCCACACTGACACCACTATCCAGCATTATTTTGCCATGGAAACTTGTGGATTTTGTAGCAAAATCTTTGTAGTATTGAGCATAAATCGAAAGATTGGACTAAACAGATTATTTTTACAAAAGACATATTTATTTCTTAGGCAATTCCTTGTTAAGATGTTCAGAAACTTGTTTCCTTTCCATTCTTTCCATTGCCATGGCCTTGTAGTGTTCTAACTGTTCTATTTTTGTGTAGTACAGTTCTTTGTAATAATTTATATTTTTTAAATGACAGTACTGTGTTTGTCTAATGGATACATAGCAGTGGGAGTTTTGCCTGTTTGCCTAAAAAGTAGTATCATTAAATTCTTGCCTGTTTCTGGGGAAAAGTGAACTTGAGGGTCATTTTAATAGTGATCCTCTTCCCAAATTCATGCAGCAGAAATTTAAAGAAAGGAGACAGAAAACATCTCTTCCAGATTCTGAGACAAAATGGGCAGGTGTTTGCCTGAGGCTGTAGTCAGACTAAATTTCACTTGTCTTTTCTGAGTGGAAACTCTGAAAACACCCTGATACTCAAGTTCTGCTGAGAACTGTTCCTGTTCAGCAATTATGTGTGTTCCATAAATTCCAAAGAGATAGGAAAACTTAAACTAGCCTCATAAATTCAAGTTAAAGTTGCTTTTTAGCCTATACCCAAAAGGTGTTTTCCTCATCATTCTCTTGCATTTTGGCCTGTAAATGTGTTTAGCTGTTCTGTGTTAGTGTCAGAATGGGGAGGGCATTATGGCTGTTTACAGTTTATTTAGCAGCATTTTTATCCAGAGTTCTTCAGGATGCCCTGGCTTGTTCAGAATGCCATTTCCAATAATAAAACTGATCCTGATCCATTTTCCTTTGATACCAGTGAATGATATTGTACTTTTCTCACCTGCCCTGTTGTTAACACAGTTCCCAGAGCTCATTTTAAGGAGTGTGCCTGACTGCCAGGTGTAGCACTGGGACTTCCCCTCGGGAGTGCTAATTGCATTCATTAGAGGGGTGTGGGAGTGGACATGGAGTGGAAGGGGGGCTGAATTGGACCCTGAATGCTGCGTGAGCCCTGGGGTGAGGTGGGGAAGGTCCCTGGCAGCAGAGAGGGGCCAGGGCAGCTTCAGGGGGGCTGGAGAGGAGCTGAGCAGCGGAGCTCTTGTCCTGCCTCATCTCCAGTGAGCAGAGTGGGACAGAACCCAGGGGCACCTCCAGGAGAGGGGCTGGAGCGGCTGAAATCCAACAGAACCCTCTGAAGGGAGCAGAGGAGAGAGCAGGGAGTGGTTGGAGTGTGTGGTGTCGCAGCTCAGGGGGCTCAGGAGCACAAACTCCAGGTTTTAGGAGCACTGTCCCTGTGTGCAGCATTTAATTCCAAAACCCTGTGGCTCATTTTGGGGGAATTTCACAGGCATTACCCTTAAGAAGAAGTACAGGTAATGCATGTCCTGAAAATGAATGGGAGTGTTCTGCTGAGCTGATTTAAATGCTGCTTTCCTGGGCAGTGTCAGTGATGAATTGTTTAGTTCTGCTTTGTAGAAAATGCAGAAGATGGATTAATCTGTTATAATCTCCAGGGGAGAGATCAATATGTTTTACCTATTTTTGTGAGGAAATTAAACCCATTGATCTGCAGTACCCTCAAATTTAAGAAAGACTTAATGATTGCATTTGTCTCATCTGCCTTTTCTGTGCTGTACTGCAGAAGAGCAAAGGTTGTTTTTCTAAATTAGCCTTTAGAGACCTTAAAAGGTTGGCTCATTTATTATATTTGTGGAGTCAGATCCAATTCTCTGTGTGTGAATCTTTTTGTGAGGAGATGATATGAAAACTATTATGTCTTTTAGATAATAATTAATGTTTAAATAAGTGAAATGCATAGAAAAAATATCCACATCAGTAACTGCTGAACAAAACAATTGGTCCAAAGTCTGTTCTGATGGAAAGGGAGAGACATTTTTTCCCACTGCTGATAAGCATCTGGAAATTAATGAAATTACCCTCTTTGTTTCTCTTCCCCAGTGCACATCTCTGTGCTGTAAGCAATGCCAAGACACAGAAATAACTACCAAGAATGAAATATTCAGGTGAGTTTATTACTCTTCATTTTGGATAACTCCTAGGTCAGAAACATGGGCCCAGCAAAGCAGATTAAGCTGGGATAAGTCTTAAAACTGCTGGGTTTGCCACAGCTCCAATAAAATTTAAGTAAATATTTATAGAGAGTTTATATTTGAGCTTTTTTAATAAAAAGTTGGGGAATCTCAGCATTTCCAGGTATATTGGAAGAGAAATTGGTGTTGTGCCACACCCCCAGCACCTTACTCTGAACAATTTGAAATATAAATGTGTCACATAGAAACTTTTTCATCCTGGTATTTCTGAATAAAGATTTAGATAAATTTTATTTTGCAGCACTTCATTTATGTGTCAATTAAAATGCACTAATGAGGGGATATAAACAGGCTCTCAGTATGTTGGCATGCAGGGAAGTTTCCTATTGAAGCCAATAAATGTTGTGATCCCTTTTTTCTCTGAAGAACTGAAGGTTATTCCTGATAACTGGCCCCATTCTTTTTTTGCCCTGTACAATATCTCCCATGTTTAACAACGATTACATTTCCCAAATAATTGCTGCCTCTGTCAGCCTTGTCACTGCTTTTAATCTTGATGAACCGCCAGCAGCCCATCCCCTCTGATAATGGCAAGGTTAAAAGATGCTTTGGCTTTACAAAGACTCCCCACAGTTTTTCTTTATCAGTGTGATAAGGAGCTGATGGGGTAATTAAAAGCCATTTCTTATCTTTTAATCAAATAATGGATTGCAGACCCCACAATTCCTGCTGTGTCAATATGATGAACTTTTTACAGAAGGTGTTGAGAAGTTGGTGCAATAAATGAACATTTGTGCTTACTTTTAAAGTTACATTTTCCTTGCTTTTCTTGGAACTTGCTGTTTAAAGGAACACACAGGATGAGTCTGTCGTGGACTTTCCTGCAATTCGAAGCAAATTTGAGTAATGATATTTTAAATCAGCATCTATTTTCTTTCAGTTTTTAATGCTGTAATTCAATACATGTTTTTTTTTTCCCCTACAAAAAGTGGGGATTTTTTTTGCTCTGTTGAAATATTTTAAGCTTAGTTGGAATTTTTTCTCTCTTTACATTTGTCACCGTTTGTTTTTTTTTTTTTTTTTTTGGGTTTTTTTGTGGGTTTTTTTATTTTTCCTTGCATTCTGACAAAATTCCCTGTGTGTTGCAGCTTGTCCCTGTGTGGGCCCATGGCAGCCTATGTGAATCCCCATGGGTACATCCATGAAACGCTCACTGTTTATAAAGCCTCCAACCTGAGCCTCAGTGGACGCCCCTCCACAGAGCACAGCTGGTTCCCTGGGTAAGAGCAGCGACATTTTAATAGAAAATTACCCAAATTGCCTATTTCTGGGAGGGTGGAATAGTAAATACCGAGTTTTTTAGGCACATGTCATCATTTGCTCATTTCATCATTTATGAAAAATAAATAAGTAAATTTAGACTTACTCAAGATACAGAATAAAATGGAAAAATCACATAAAATAGTGCAGAATTTAATATTTTTAAAATGGGGAAATACTAAGATTTTAAAACATAGTCTAGAATCTAAACTGTTTAAACCAAGTTGTCTGGAAATTTCTTTGTGTGTAGTTTTGTTTAAAGTTCAACTATTTTCAGAATTGTTTTCACACAGCTTTAGTGCAAGTGAAAACCAGAATATATAAGTACATTTCATCTACTGAAATACATTTTTATATCTAAAACTTGAATAAATGTTACAAATTAATAACATTTGTATTGATCTGATTATCTTTGATTTTATTTTAATAATAAATAATTAATAATGAGTCTGCCTCTCTGAGGCAATAACAGAATTAAGTGTTAAGATGTAAAAGTTTGCCTAATAAATAACAGGTCTTGCATCCAGGATTTTTTTCCTGGAATATCACAGAGAGCTGAGCAATGACTTGGAGGATGTCTGGCATTTCTATCACGTTTTAACATTCCCTAAAAAAAATTTGAGACTTTTAATATCTGGACTTAATATTGCTCATCCTTTTGTGTTCTTTCAGCTCTTTTATGATGGCTTTGAAATATTTATGTTCTACCTCATAAAACTGTTGGAAAAAATCTCTGCTGCTGTGGGAGGTGCAGCAGTCCCCGTTCTTTGAAAAGCAGGGCAAAAATCACTTTCATTGCCATTAAATAATTTACTCTGAGAAGTTTTGTGACCCCTCTTCAGGGCTCTCAGCATTTCTGGGACAATAAAAAGCTTTGGTCGCTTCCTCTCTTTGAAGAGGCAAGAGAGGGCTTTGGGGTGGGATGTTTGTGGGATTTTTTTCTTTTATTTTTTGGAGCTCTGTAGGGTTTTAAATGGGAACTGGGCACTGGATTCCTGAGGATTCTTTGCAAATGCAGCTGGGGATTGGTATCCAAATGCATTTTGGGGTTGTTACAAAAATTCAGCTGGAGATTGATATCCAAACCCAGTTTGGGGATTGGTACCCAAATCCAGCTGGGCTTTGGTACCCAAATCCAGCTGGGATTGGTATCCAAATGCAGTTTGGGGTTGTTTAACAAATTCAGGTAGGGATCAGTACCCAAATCCAGCTGGAGATTGGTTCCCAAATGCAGTTTGGGGTTGTTTAACAAATTCAGGTAGGGATCAGTACCCAAATCCAGCTGGAGATTGGTTCCCAAATGCAGTTTGGGGTTGTTAGAAAAGTTTAGCTGGGGATTGGTACCCAAATCCAGCTGGGGATTGGTATCCAAATGCATTTTGGGGTTGTTACAAAAATTCAGCTGGGGATTTTGGTATCCAAACCCAGTTTGGGGATTGGTACCCAAATCCAGCTGGGATTGGTATCCAAATGCGTTTTGGGGTTGTTACCCAAATTTAGCTGGGGATTGTCACCCAAACCGAGTTGGGGGTTGTTACCAAATCCAGCTGGGAATTGTCACCCAAATTCAGTTTGGGGATTGGTACCCAAATGGAGCTGGGGATTGCTATCCAAATGCAATTTGGGGTTGTCACCCAAGCCCAGCTGGGGATTGTCACCAGACCCACTCTGGGATTGTCACCAGACCCACTCTGGGATTGTCACCCAAGCCCACTGTGGGGTTGTCCCCACGGCCAGCCGGGGATTGTCACCAGACCCACTCTGGGATTGTCACCAGACCCACTGTGGGGTTGTCCCCCACGCCCAGCCGGGGATTGTCACCAGACCCACTCTGGGATTGTCACCCAAGCCCACTGTGGGGTTGTCCCCACGGCCAGCCGGGCCATTCCTGCTGGAGGCCTCTCCCTGCCCGTTTCCCTGACCCTGTGCCCCGCAGGTACGCCTGGACCATCGCGCAGTGCCGGCTCTGCGGCAGCCACATGGGCTGGAAGTTCACGGCCACCAGGAAGGAGCTGAGCCCCCCCCGGTTCTGGGGGCTGACGCGCTCGGCGCTGCTGCCCCGCATGCCCGAGGACGCCGAGGACGCGGAGCGCGGCCGCTCGCCGCTGCTGTGCCTGTGACGGCCCGGGCCCTGCCGGGGCTGCTCCTCCTCCTCTGCCCCCACCATCCCCAGGAACCAGCTCAGCCCTTCCCCGTGCTGCTCCTGCACAGGGACACACCGGGAGCGGGACACCGGGAAATCTCTGAGCCACCTGGACGCGGCTGAGACCGGACTCGTGGAATTCCCACCTGCAGTGAAGGAAGGAAGGGGATGGAAACTAAAACCAAACTGAAATCCCAACGAGCAGAGTCTGATTGCTGCAGTATTCCCGGGATGGTAGATGGCAGTTACCTGCTGTGGAGTGTTGGCCATAACTCACTTACACGTGGTTTGCCGAGAATCCCTGTTGCTAACTCTCTGAAGTCCTTCAGGTTTACTGCTTGTGCTGTTTCTCAGCTTTTTGCTGAATAACCGTGGAAGAGAGAAGCAGCCTGAGCGTTTCTGAGTGCTGGAATGTGCAAAGCTGGGATTGCAGCTCCTCCCAGGATGGACCCCGTGGGGAAGTGTCTGTTCCTTACAAGTTGTCTCATCTGTTTAGTCCATTTGACTTTAGAAGTCTTAAATTTTAAACTGTTGATAAGAAGTGCACAGGTCAGTCCCAGAGGGTAAAACAGCATTGTCATGTTCTGTTCAGTGTGCTTCAGTCACTTCCCCAACTTATTCCTGGTTAATTTACCAGTGGAGGTGGCCAGGGGATTGGGAAGGACTCTAAACCACCCCACTGAGGTGGATTTTTCAGTAGTACTTGTTGTGACAAAGGGAAGGAAAAAATCTCTTTTAATTATTTCATTGTAACTTTAAGATCATAAAGTAAAATTTCACGTTATCAACTTATAAAGAGCAAAAGTTTCCAAATAAAATAGGAATACAGGCAATGCTTTTTTGTGGAGAGGTTTCTTGGGTTTTGGTTTGCTTTTTGTTTTGTCTGTGCTCCACAAATTGGGTGCCAATCTGGGGCAGCTTTTGCCAGTGATTTATTTTTTTTTTCCCCTCATAGAAAGCACTTTGGTGATGGCAATGGAGATTTTTTTAGTGCTTGTGCACATAAACACTTGTTTTTCTTGTGAAGTTTTTATCATTCACTCTTCATTTCTTCACAGTGATGTTAAACTAGTCAAGTCTGAGACATGAGCCAGTGGCTGCTTGTTCTCTGTCAGGCTCCAGGCAGGTGTAGCAAGGACAGATCATTCAGCTGAGGGCCAAGGCCAGGCCTGGCACACCAGGAGTGATTCCCCTGGCAGTGTGGAAAAGCACCCCAAACCATGGACTTGCTGCTGGGTATTTGTCTTGCCAGGTATGTAGAGATTAATTGTGTAACTCAGGTTTAGTTCTTTGGAACTTTCTACCTCTGTGCTGCTTCTGTTCTTCTTAGACTCCTTTAATTCCGTGCTCAGTTCCTTGTGCAGTGCCCTGACTTGGCAGTGAACTGTGGAAAGCAGAATTTGGGATGTGGCTCTGAGCAAACAGAGGGTGATGGGGGCTCATTTTCACCCAGAAAACATCCTGGATGTTGATAATGATTCGTGATAAGCTTGGAAAGGCAGGCACTGGTGTGAGAGGGAGACTGGATGCTCTGTGTGGATCCACTGGAACCAGGCCTGGCTTTCCCTCACCCAGCACATCTGGGCTGTGTATTTGGGATATTTTGTTCCTTTCCCCTCAGAGTCCCTCCTGTCTGTTGTTCCTGTGGCCCTCAGTGGGCCTTGGTGGTGACAAGAAGTTGGAAGGTGCTGCCAGCACCTTCTGCTGCCTTGGTGTGAGCAGTCACTGGGGGCTGGGAAGGGAATTTCAAAAGGATTTTCTCAGCTCTCACTGAATTTTAAAGGTTCAGTTCTTTTGGCCGAGTCTTTTTAGATTTTCAATTAAAAATGGCAATGTTTGAATCCAGAACAAGCATTTTATGGTGTTTTGTGTATATAGTCAAATGTAAACTAACATAATCGAGGTAAGTCAGGAGTAAATTAATGCTAATTAGATGTCATTGTTGATGATGCTGTTCCCTGTGCTGAACCTGTGCAGTGTTTGCTGTACTGAGTCCATGACACTCCCCAGGTTAAATCCTGTGCTGGTGAATCTGGGAGCTGTCAGAGCATCCAGCACTCCAGGTGTGAGCTGGGGATGGTTCCTTACACTGGGTCATATTTTCCATCCTTTTCTCTGTTTTGAAGAGAAAACTGTTGGTGGGAATTAGGGGAAAATTTGGAGCATCATTATGGAAAATTAGAGACAACTGCTCAGAGAGCTAATCAGAGGAAAGCAGGTTTGGTGAATATTTACATTTATCCCATTGATTGGCTGAGTAGCTTCCAGCAGGAATTCATTAATTAATTAATCCAATGGGCACGACTGAGGGGTCACAGGATTTACAGCACAGACTCATTTCCAAGCCATCACTGCAGCATCACCAACACCCCCAGTCAGAGCTGTAACTTTGCAACTTTTCATTTATTTTAGGTTCATTTGGACAAATAGGTAGAACCACTCGCACACTGGGTCTGAAATATTTCAGATACTCATTTGTCTTTTATTAATTCTCTTTTTGGATGTGCTGCAGTTCATTTGTTCCTCTCTTTGTCACCTTTCATTGCTCTGTGCACTGCTCCAGGGGTAGCCCAGTCTCTGCTTTAACTCTTCCTTCTCTCTGCCTTTTGGGACAACTTTTCTGACAAATCTTGTGGCTTGCAAATATTTGCAAAGAATAAAATTCAATTTGTTTCAAAACTCACCTGGTTTTGCTGATTGTCAGGGTGGGAAAAGGAAACATTTGGGTTTGTGATGAGTTTTTGGCTGCAAAAAGTAAAAGTTTCACTTCTAAGTCTGTGCTGGCTCGACTGGCCCAGGGCAGAGAAGGTAAGGAATGGCAGGGGAGGGTGTCAGGTAATTAAAACCCATTGTGAATATCATTTAATTAGTCAAGTCATCTGTTGGAGAACTTTACTTGATCACATGTGTATCAAGCAATTTAAACAACCATACTCTAAAGAGGAGAGTTTATTGAAACCCAATATTTTTCCAGATTCCAAGCTGGCACTGCTTGCCTAAAATACGTGAATATTTTTTATTTCATGCCTTTATTTTCCTAGGGGTTATTTTTAGTGGAAGATGAACAGAAAAGCTCAATAGACCAATGGGAAACCTCAGGCAGGGGCTGATGTTTAGAGGTGCTGGAACACAGGTGCTCCCTGCACTGAATTCCAGTCCATGAAGGTGCTTGTGGGACAATCTGGTTTTGCTGTTTTCTAACAGGATCCTCTGTGTTATCAGTGAGGGATGGAGGAAATGGTTCTCCCTCTGCTTTTAGTGGCCAGCGTGGCCAAAGAATCTCCAATTAAACCCATCAGTTTCTATTTACTAACAATTAAACTGGCTTTGAAGTGATTGATTTAACAGTGCACTATGAACAGCATCTATACTGTGCAGTAAATAATTCTGATAAAACCTTTTCAGGCTCATCATTACCAGCATCCATTTAAATAAATCATTCCTTGCTGTTCATATGCATGATTGGGGTTGTCATCCTTCATCCTGGGGGTCAAAGTTGTGCAAAGGCTCCCTGAGAGCTGAACAAATCCTTCAGACAGAAACCAGAGATGAAATCTGGGAGCAGGACTGGATCCAGGCACATCCAGGCAGGATTGCATTCCAGCAAACAGCTGCAAATTGAAGCTCAGCACTCATGGGAAAATCTGCTAAACTTTGTCCAAACTATCCATTTGGTCCATGCCAAGACCATAAATTTCAAGCTTTTCTCCTTAAAAATTCTCTCTCCAAGGGGAGTTGGACCCTGGCAGCACTGTTGGGTAAAAGTTGTGTTCATAATTTCCACCTCCACAGCCTTTGCCCTAAAGCTGCACTTTGGTGGAATCTTGACAGGACTCTACAGCCCTGAGTTTGTCACTCTCCCTCCCAAGATCTCAGTAGTTCCAGAAATGACACAAAGGAGGCTTCAATTTAATCACCTCATTAAATTAAGCACCATCCTGTTCCTGTGAGATTTGCCTTCCTAACAAACAGCCTTTCCCTCTCCCCTTGCTGGCTCCCACAAATTCCCAGGCACCTTCAGGATAATTTATTTAAAGGACCAGACATCCCAGGAAAATCAGTAGTGTGAAAGCCCCAAATGCTGATTTTTCCCAGCATTGCTCCAGTGTTGCCATCTAGTGTTGCAAAATGATATCCAAGGAAAATGAAATCCAAAGGATTTTATTTGTTACCATGGTTCTGTAGGAAAACTTTAACTTGCAACAAGATTTGTGCACACAGAGCTGCTCCCAGAGATTTTAACAGCACACCAAAAACCCCAGGGCCAGGAAGACACTCACAGAAACCAGGAATAGCTCAGCTCCAAGTCCCCAAAGTCCCAAGACAAGGAGCTGGAGCTCATGTTAATTAACATTAACAGTTTGTCTCACACCTGGAGTTGAAAATACAATGTAGAACCTTCACCAGCTTGCTGTGGATTTAGTTACTCACTGATAAGTTACTGAAAAACTACTGAAAATTCATGATACTCAGCCAAGCCATCCTTTTAACCTAAAACTAATTCTGAAATTCTGGAAAATAAAAATAGTCCTAGAAAACAGCCTGGTTGTCCATGGCAAGGCTGTTGGGAACTGCTGGAGTATTTCCATCTGTTATCCAGCTTTAAGTACAAAAAGAGTTAAAGTAGAGCCCATTATTTCCTCACTTTCTCCTAGGCACATAAAAACCCCTCCATGATTTTATCTAGAGGATGCAAACAACATTTTGGGGTTTTTTTTTTGGATATAGAAAGTCAAAAGGAGAAAAATCTTGCTGTCACCTCTCATGCCCTAAGTCATGATAAAATAGTAAATATTCATCACTAAGAACAGCAAAGAGAGGTTGAGAAGGTGGGATTTGGCAAACCATGTTTTGCATTTTTACAAAATGCAACCTCTCCTTGCAGAAGTTAGGCATCAGTAATGAAAATGTTAAATGTGGCAGATGCTGTGAGAGGCTCAGTTTCCTGGGAGCTCAGTTCCACTCAGCTCAGGGCACAAACAGTTCTGTCATCATTCACTTCACAGCTTCTTGAGGCAGCTCAGCAGTTCCTCTTTATCCATGTGGTAGCCACTCTTTTTCCACTCGTCCCTCAGCTGCTGCAGGGCTGTCCCAATCTCCTTCCCCGAGGACACCCCCATCTTCCTGAGGTCGTGGCCACTGACAGGGAACGAGGGCACAGTCCATTCCTGCATCTCCTTCAGGAGCTGCTCCTCTCCTTGGTACTTCAGCAGCTCAAAGATCTTGGAGTTGGTGTTGGCTTCCCTAGACTGGGAGAAAAAAGGAACAAAGAAAGGCTTAAAAAGAAACAGCTCAGCATTGTGCTATTCCCATTATCCTTGTTAAGCAAGACCTTGGCCAAGCTGGGACTATGGGAGCAAGGCTCTCTCCTGCCTCACAGGAATTAAAACTGAGTTTTGCAGGCTCTGGGGGAGATCCTTGGAGACTCCTGAATCCAGGTAATAGCTGTGATCCCTATCCATCACCTTTCCTGGTGACACAGGCCTGGCCCTGGGGACTGCTCCTTGCCCTCAGGATCAGAATTCAGCTGGAAGTGACCTCACTGTGGAAGGACATCCCAGGTTGCCTAAGGAACAGCACTCAAAATCACCCCAAAAAAAAATCACCATAAAAATCCCCAAAATCGCCCCAAAAATCATCCCAAAAATTGCCAAAAAGTCCTCTGAAAATTCGCCTCAAAATCACCTCAAAATGGCTGTAAAAATCCCAAAAATCGCTTCAAAAGTCACCCCAAAAATCACTTAAACATTGCCTCAAAACTCACACAAAAGAATTGCCCAAAAATCACCTAAAAATTCACCTCAAAATTACCTAAAAAATCGCCTCAAAATCACCATAAAAATCCCCAAAATCACTCCAAAAATCACCCATAAAAGCACCCCAAAATCACCCCAAAAATCACATAAAAGAATTGTTGAAAAATCCCCAAAAATCACCTAAAAATTCACCTCAAAATCACCCAAAATTGCCTTGGGAAGAACACCAGGAATTGCACTGATTTTCCATTCACCATTTGACAGAAAAAAGCCAAATTCTCCTTGAGGGGCAGCTCCTGTTTGATATTCCAGCAGGAGAGCACAGCAAAGGGAAGGTCACAAGGAAATAAACGTGACATTTTCCAGCCTGGCTGACTTTTAAATCATCCCAAAAACTGCTCCAGAGCACAGGGTGCTCAGAACTGCTACAACACAGCAGGTCTGGGTTTTAGGAATGGCTTGGAATGAATTCAGCTCCTGAGAAGCCCCAATGGAGCAATGTGAACTGCACTCACATCCATCAGGAAGTCCTGGTATGGTCTGAGTGGTTCTGGCCCCGAGCCTTTGGTTAACTCCTGCCTGTGCTTCACCAAGAAAAGGCCAAGGTTCTTCTCTTCCTTGGAGATTTTCAGCCTCAGGTCCAGGTTTGTGACATCATCCTTCCCCTTGAACAAGGATGTCAGGACAGTCATGGGTTTTGGAGACAGGTTGTGGATGTTTTTACTGACTCTGGCAAATTCCTCTAAATTCCCACCCAGTGGTAGCCCTAAAAACACACAAAAAGTGCAAAGTGTTAGTAAGAAAAGTGGGTTTGATGGCAATTTGCCACAAAATTCTTTCTATATAAGGTACAGGAGTAGGAAATCAAACTTCATTTCACTTTACCTATGTACTGGGCAATATCCAGCTCATACATAAGCTGAACCAAATGATTGACATGGTTTCCAAGCAGAATTTTTTTCAGTTCCACCCAAATCCTTTCTCCTGATATTCCAGCCAAGCCTTTGGCATTTTCTTTAATTGCTTCCAGTGTAACAGGTTCATGATCTCCAGGTTTCTCTGCAATTCTTCCATAAAATCTGCCAAAAAAAAAAACCTGGATGTTAGATTGGAAAACTTACAATTACTCTTATAATTAAAACAATTAAAAAGAATTCTTACAATTATACAACTTATTCCACTTACAATCATAAAATCATTTAGGTTGAAAAGAAAATATGACAACTACAACTCTTTTTACATGACTGGTATCTTTTTGCATGCTTTTGAAGCTTTATACAGTTTATTTATCAAGGAAAGGCAAAACCTCTTACCTGAAGTATCTCAGGATTCTTAAATAATCTTCTTGTATTCTCTCAGCTGCCTTGCCCACAAATCTGATTTTCTTGTTTTTCAAGTCTTCATAGCCATTAAAAAAATCATAGAGTGTCCCATCCAAACCTAGAAAAAAAAGAAAAATGAAATATCAATTTACCAATGTGGCTGACACAGCGATCCACTCTCATTTGGAAATGAGAACTTGGGTGATTTGAGCTGCTCTGTCAGATCATCTCAGTATTTATACAAATCTTTGACAGAGACAGAATTCACTGGCAAAACTCAAATCCACTGTTTCATCTACCTAAGTGCTTCTCAGATTTACCTAAGAACATGGAGTTGACAGTGAGGTCCCTCCTCTCAGCATCCTTGTGCCAGTCCGTGGTGAACTCCACCTCCGCGTGCCGCCCGTCGGTGACCACGTCTATGCGCAGAGTGGTGATTTCAAAATTCTGTTCGTGGAGCTGCAAATCCCACAGACACCGTTACTTCAACACAACCACGACATGAAATGAACTGAAATTAAACAAAATTAAATGCAAAAGCTGCTCCTTTTTCAGCCCTGTGTTTGTGTACAGTAGGTGGACACATTCACCAACATGTGCAAGGTTTCCATACAGAGTGAGAAATAGGAACTTCTGAAAATAATCCTGACATTATTTATTTTCTACAGAGCCTGCAGAAATCTTCCTGCAGGACATGGACTGAGAGCAAGGCAGAGGAAATCAGGACCAGGAAACATCAGGATCATGTGTGGGCAGCAGAGATTATTTCTTTCTGGTGGTGACACAGCAGCATGAATGGGTTACTTGCATTAAAACATGGTAATTACTTGAATTCCACAATGAATAATCAAAAAAATCACTCCAGGCTTTAAAGCAGGGTCCTATTTAAACTCTTGCTGTGATACTTTAACAAATAAGGAGCAAATTTTCTACTGCACATCCACAGACAGGTAAAAAAGATCCAAACAAATCCCAAACCAACCCTGGCAGTGATGGTGCCGTGTTTTTCTCCTTTGTTATTGATCAGACGAACCCCAGCTGCTGTGAACATCTCCTTCATCTCTGCTGGGGTGGCTGTGGTGGCAAAATCGATGTCCTGTGGTGTCACTCCGCTCAGCAAATCCCTCACAGCCCCTCCTGCTATTCTCAGCTCATAGTTCTTCTTCTCAAACAGTTCTGGGAAGGGAAGGAAACCAAACAGCAATAAACCTACGGCACAATCAGCCATAACCTGCCTTCTCACAAAATCGAGATCATAGATGTAGGAATAAACACTCAAATGTGCAGGGAGCAGCAAATAACTCACAGCTTCATGCAAAATGCACTAATTCATGGCACAGCTCAGCACCCACAGGTATTTCCCCTGTCATTCTGATTTATTTTTCTGAAGCTTTTTTTAAAACTTAACTATGGCAGGTCTCTAATTGGTCCTGGGGACTCTGGGCTGGGGATCATTTTGAACAGTCAGGGGCTGACAAGGGAAAATAATTCAGATTATTTACAGCAGAGAACAGCGTGCCATGAGCCCTGATTTCTCCAGGAACAACAGAGCATCATGGAATCGGCCTATACAAAGGGGAAAACGAGCTCTGACATGTCCCTGGAGACTGGCTGGGGCTGTTCGGCCTGGAGAAGGCTCTGGGAGCAGAAAAATTCTCGGGGACACTTTTATCAGGGCAAGGGGGAAGGGCAATAAGGTGGGTGAGGGTGGGTTCAGGAATGAGGTTTTCTTCTTAGGGTGGGGAGGGACTGGGATGGAGTTCCCAGAGCAGCTGGGGCTGCCCTGGATCCCCGGCAGTGCCCAAGGCCAGGCTGGACACTGGGGCTCATTGGGAGCAGCCTGGATAGTGGGAGGTGTCCCTGCCATGGCAGGGATGGGCTTTGAGGTCCCTCCCAACCCGAACCACCCCGGGGCTGCGCTCAGGGACATTTCGGGGCTCGCCCCGCACTCACCGGCCACGCTGCGCAGCCCCGGCGTGAAGAGCGCCTGGAACTGCGGCGCCTGCAGCCTCATGGTGCCCGTGCCCGTGCCGGAGCCGCTCCCGCCGTGCCGCCGCCGCAGCAGCCGCAGCCCGGCCCTGCGGGGCACAACCCAGAGCTCAGCCCACATCCGCGGCACGGCCGCACCGGCCCGCCGCCCCGCTCACTCACCGGGGCCCAGCTCCCGGATCGCCGGCGCCGCCCGATGAGCTCAGAGCGGCGCCGGGCTCGGGGATCGGCACCGCCCCGGGGCCGGGCTCGGGCAGCGGCACCGCCCTGGAGCTGGGCCGGGCTCGGGGATCGGCACCGCCCCGGGGCCGGGCTCGGGGATCGGCACCGCCCTGGAGCTGGGCCGGGCTCGGTGAGGCGGCACCACCGCGGATCGGCACCGCCCCGGGGCCGGGCCGGACCCCGCTCCGCCCCCGCTCCCTCAGCGGGACCGACCCGACTGTGCTCAGCCGGGAGAGATTCATAAAAAACCTTACAGAATCACTGAGCTGGAAGAGACCTTCAAGACCATCGAGTCTTGAGCCCCAACAGCTCAACTCAACCCTGTCCCCAAGTGCCACATCCACAGAGCTTTAAATCGCCCCAGGGATGGGGATTCCTCCTGACCCAAAACCCCATCCTGTTCTGTGGAGCAGACATCAGTGATATGAGTGATAATTGATTATTTACAGCTATTAATGTGCACTTGATAATGTCTAAATGCAGTTGAGATCTTGCCCACATTGAATTACACCCATTTTCACCAATCTGACAGGAGCTTTAATTGTGTCTTGAACCCCAAACACTCGCCCCTCCAAGCTTGTGTCACCTACATGTTAATAACTTGGATGCCAGGTCGTTAATGAGGGTGAGTCATTGGCCTTCATCTCATCCTTCTATAACTCCATCACATACAGCGACACTTTCTGCAGGGTTGGATTCTGTTCCCTCTCCCGTCTGTGAGCCTGCAATACCATCACAGAGTCATGGAATGGGTTGGGCTGGAAGGAACCTTAAAGCTCACCTTGTTTCAGCCACCTGCCATGGGCAGGGACACCTTCCACGAGCCCCCTCCAACCCTGAACACTTCCAGGGATGGGGCACCCACAGCTCCTCTGGGCCATGCAGAAGTCACCCAACCCTATGGATGTCGGCTCAAAGCTCTCAGCACAGTATTAGAAAGCTGGGTTTGCTCTGGCACTGGTAACTTCTCAAAATGCTGCAAGGCTGTGTGGCCAGAGCTTTGGACAAGATGGCATGAAAAAACCTGGACAAACATGCGCAGTTTTCCAGCAATGCCTGGGTTTGATTTTCTAGGGGAAGAACACATTGGGATATCAGCAATGTGGCTGTAGGTTATTTCTTTGCAGTCAGCCATCACATTCCTCCTCCTCTTGAAAAGTCGTCAGAGCACTCTCAGACCATTGTATATAAATAAAATAACCCCATTTCTGGGCTCAGCCTTCCACCCTGTGGTTAAATCCACAGTTCCCTTTTTCAAGGCGTGCTTATCTCACTTGTCCTCTGCCATCTCTTGTGAGGCACCAGCCCTGCTGGCACTTGGAGGGCAGCAGTTATAAAAGAACCCAGAGGGAGAGCACCCAGGGCACGGGGAACTCACAGCCCCAGCTCCTGGCAGGACTCTGAGATGCCCAGGTAACCTCTGGGGTGTCTGCTGTGCTTGGGGTCTGCCTTGTGCTTGCTCTGCACACTGCCAGGGTCCTGCTTTGCAAAAGTTTGCACTGGGAAAGGCACCTGGAATCTGCTGCTGCTTTGTTGCTTGGGAGGTACTGGGACACATCAGCTGTAAGGGAGGAAATCATTACTTTTGGGAGGCTGGTTTTTGTGCTTTGGATTTCTACTGTCCTTCTAAAAGGAATACATTCATTGCACAAAGGAATAGTCCCCTTTACCTTCTGCTTATTCAAAACATAATCAAAACTTTGTCCTGAAAACTTACCATATCCATTTTTGTGAGGAGCACAATCCTCTTGTAGCCTTCTAGTTACCATCTTTACTTGCATACACTTATTTTGAGTCTCTTTCAGCAATTTCTCCCATGAAATAAGGTATCACAGACTGCAGTTTGTTCTCAGGGGCTGTGGTCTTACACAGCTGCAGAAATTGAGCTTCCAAAAGCTGTGCTGTCAGTCTTAGTCTGGCAGCAAGAAAAAGACAAGTAGCATTTTGGAAAATAAAGCAAGAAAAAATAAACTGAAAAGAATAGGATAATAAATTAGGACTCATCTGAGTTACAGTAACATTTTATAATCAGTTTCAGTTCAGTAACATGCTGCACAGAAAATAAAAGATGTAATACATGCAAGATTTTAGGCAGAAGAAAAAATATCTTTAGGATCTTTATGAAAGTATAAGGGAAAGAAAAATCAGAACCCTTAACTTTTTGTGGACAAATTAAGAAAAAAAATCCACAGGTAGCCAAACCCACTTTAAATAAACCCAAGGGAGAGTCAGCTGTTGTAGTTATAATAATGCCTGAAACCAACACACTGACATTATTCAAGTAGATGTGAATGCTAAGCACTTGCAAAACATGAGGCTTTTAAAAGATTTTTAAAAAATAATGTACTGAAGTAATTGCCTTTTTTAGGAAAAAGAGTGAATGCTCTCAGCAGTGAAACTAATGAAGCTTCTTTCCCAAAGTTGTTTTTTATTTTCAAGGATGTGAGCATAATGAATTTTTACTTCTAAACATAGAGAAAAGTTAATATTAGAGTATTTGCTGGTCTCTTTAGGTAAATGAAAGGATGTTTCCTGAAGCGCTAAAGAAAGCCTGATGTCAGTAATTTGTGCAGGCAGAAATGTGTGCTGTAAAGAATATTTGTCCCATTGTCTGTGGCTTGCTACATTTTGGGAGAATCAAAACGCCTGGCCAGGATGTCATTCCATAATCCAACACACACAAAATCAAACTCTGGCTCCCCAGGAACAATCCATTAGCAAACTCCTGAGTTTCAGCTGGCCTTGTGCGCATTTGGGCTGTCAGGAAAGCAGAGAGGCACAAAATGTGAATATAGATAATGAGAGGAGTTGGACATTAAAAACACACTGCACTGTAGATGATGTGTCATTTTAATGAACTCAGCACTCAGACTGCATTTTGAAAAATAGTTACTGTACAGCAGAATTATTCCAACTGTGATCAGTGGGAGTGCTTCCAGTCCCTGGGTTATTCCTGCTCATTACCAATGGAAAATATTATATTTTCCATGTGAGCAATTGCTGTAGTGCCCCAGGGAGGTGGTGAGATTGGCTGGGGGGGTGCATTTCTCTTCAGTAAGAACATTTTGGAAAGCTGCTGTTCTGAATGCCCATTTTTATATTAGGTTATACATGAATGATTACACTGAGATTTTTTTTTTCTCCCAGTAATTCATGAAACCATCCATAAGAAAATGCTGGGTTTAAGCATTAAAAATTGTTGTTCATTGAAATTAGGAACAAACAAAGCAGTTTCTCTTACACTCAATAATTAATGGTGGAGAATTAGCCTTGAGGTGAGCAGTGGCTGTGTCTTTAGAGAGCTTTATTGGAGGAGTAACTAGACAGTAAATCCCAGTAATCAGCTATTTTATATAGAGTGGGAGCTAAAATATGGTTATTTCTGTTCTTGGAGGAAATGGGACTCTCCCAAAGCCAGTCTACACGAACCTGACTCACCTTCATGGAGAAATGCTTAAATCCACGGATGCCCTGAACATCCCCACATGAAGGCTTGAAAGCAGCAGCTTTTCAGAGAGGGCTGGCAAAGGGAGCAACATGAAACGTGCTCTGTGTACCTATATTAAATTTAGCTCCCACAAGAAACATTTTCCTGCAAGAAAAGAGTCTATCCCTGCAAGGCAGCGTTTCACCCCTTTGATCATGGGGATAGGTTGTGATCCGTGGGTTGGGTGTTTAACCCTTGGCTTGGCTTTAACCTTTGTTCATTTTTAGCTCCTGTGAAACGGTGCCAGGGCTGGTGGGCTGATGCCTGGCTGTGCCCACCCGCCACCCAAAGATGATGGCCAGTGGGATGCCAGCTTTCCTGCTCCTCCTCTGGACAACAAACACACCTCAGGGTGCAGGAGGTGAGGAGTTCCAGCTGCCAGGGCAGTGCCCTGTCCCAGACTGTTCCCAGTTGGTGCCTGGTTTGCTCTGGGAGAAAAGAATCTCCAGTCATGGGGACGCAACTTGTGTTGGGGTTTTCTGAGCCTTTTTGGGGCAGTTTTCCTACTGCAATGTGAACTCCTGGGCATCCAAGTTTGGAATCACAGGAGAAGAGAAATCTTCTGATCACGGAATCCCAGAATGGTTTGGGTTGGAAGGGACCTTAAAGCCCATCCAGTTCCATCCCCTGACATGGTCAGGGACACCTTCCCCTGTGCCAGGCTGCTCAGAGTCACATCCAGCCTGGCCTTGGGCACTCCCAGGGGTGCTGATGGCCCTCAGCAGCCTGGGGTTTGGCAAATAAGGGAGAGCAGGCTCTGAAGAGCTGGAGGGGAGCAGATTGATTATTCCACTGCCCTGCTATTTATATGCTAACATTTCCCCCAGCATGAGCTCCTCCTCATTTCCAAGGGAGCTCCAGGAATCCTTCTTGCCCTGTCATTTTAAATTATCCTTCCCATCCTTCTGTGTTTCCTTCCATTTGTGCTTAATTCCTCTGTTCATCATTTTGGTTCTACTCTCACATGCAACTTCTTGTGGCTGTCAACCTTCTCTTTGAAAGCCCCCCACGCTGCCCTCTCCTGCAAGCTGATGGGAGTGAGAATTGCTCATGCAGTTGATCACTCCATCAGCCCTGTGTGACAGTGAGGACCAAGATGGAAACTCTGAACCTAATTAACAAGCCAAATGTAATATATCACACTAATGTTCAAGTTGAAACTGTTGTAAAAATTTCATTTTTCAAGCTAAGTTTTAATAAACTCTTATTTGATGGGGTGTTGGTTATTTAAAGTTTTTTTTTTGGTCAAATATTAGAAATATTTTATAAGGTCAAATATTAGAACATATTTTATTATGTTCTGTTGAGAGAACATAATATTAAAATGAAATTATTTGCTTGTATTGCTCACTGCTTGCAAACAGGTATTGCTCTAAACAATTCACTGGATTGGACACTGATGGATATTTCTGTTTTCTCC